GAAACCTAATGCTGAGCTTTCCCTTCCTCTTGAATATCCACTAGTTCTGGATGGTGCACTGTCATGGAGACAGGAGCTGAGTCCCCACAAGTCTATAGCCAGCCTTTCCTGGTGCATGAAGCCTGTTCTCATGTCAACGTCCCCCCCTTCCCCTCCAGTGCTTTCCAACCCACATTCCTCTTGCACTCATTCCCTTGCTGGCCTTCAACTAGAAGTGCTGCATCCAACACAGTCCCAGACAGGAAAATCCAGCTGGAGGTCCTCCTGAAGGAGGCAGACTGGAGAGGCAAGCAACTCAAGCAGCCAGTGAATGTCACACGTTGAATAGGCTCCCCAGGGGCAGCTCAAAGCCCATGGCTTGAAGTGAGGAAGATGTTGGAGGGGTCAGGAGAGGGGAAGGGTGCAAGCAGCAATGGAGACCACATTATCTCCCAGAGGCAGGAAGGGATAGAGAAGCAAGGAAGTCGGTTCCTGAGGAGCAGCTTGTGCCTATCAATCAATTGAGAGCCCTGAAGGCCTGGGATTCTCCTGAGAGCTGTGCTTGGCTCAAGATTAATTAGCTACGACTGAATCCTCACCCTTGCTAATGACTTCATTCAGCCACTGCTGAAATGACACTGTAACCCCCAGTGACAAATGCGTGTCCCCCACTTGGTGCGCAACAGCAGGTGTTGCCTGGTAAGCAGAAATAAGTACAGCAGCCTGTTGGCAAGTGTCAAACTGCACTTCCAGGGTTACAAAGTATCTCATCCTGTGGGCTGCCCAAATACAAAGACTAACATTACAGATTGCTATAAACTCATGATCATCTCTGCGGTGGGGAGGGAAATAGGACCCACAGTTTGCGCCTGCTATTGGGTTTCCACAGTGCTGTGTCTGTTGCAACGGGTTCTTTTGCAGGTTCTGTCCCTAGCAGCCCTCCACCTGGGACTCAAACACAGTGCAAATCTAGCCCAGCCCACTGCAGGGGTGTTTTGAAGCTGGAAAGGCTTGTTTATAGTGGAGGATCATTGAAGGATAATGGCCACTCCTAATAAGGAGTTCTGTACAGCAGAAATGCTTATTGCCAGGCTGAGGTTTGCTGCTCCCCTTTGGGAACCCCAGCTCCAGAAACACAATTGCAATTTAGATTTTTTTTTTTTTTCCAACTTCAAAGGTAATTGGGTCCATCCCTGGCCTGAGGACTCCCTGCCCATGTTAAGTCCGGGCACTGAGCCAAGCAGGTTGGGCCAAGCATGTGTTGTTCTGAAATAGCGCATTGTATTGACAGAGGCCAAAGGGGCTCACGCTAAAACTATTAATAAAAAGATCCACCAAGTTTTATTTAGCTGAAGTGCCAGAAAATGCAAAAGAACAAGCCCCTGCTCCCAGAGCATGCTCAGTAGGCGGACAGCAGAGCCACTTCCCTAGGGCATGCTGGGAAGGTAGGCACTGGAGCCGCCTCCCGAAAGCATACGGAGTTGATTATATCTCTATTTGCTCTACCCCCTGTGTACAAAGTGGAAAGGTTCTCCAAAGGCGACTGCAGAGCTGTGCAGCTGGGGTGTGCCACAGTTCCCTGGAGATTCCTGCACTATGGAGCGTTGGAGTCAGTGAGTGAGACAGGCAGACACACGCAGGAGGCCGTGAGAGAGACAGACAGACACAGAGAAAGAGAGAAGTGTGATGGAGAGCTGTAGGGAAGTGGAGCGACGGGGTTGCTTCACTGTGGAGCCTCGGGCTCTACCCAGAGGCATTGATGTACAGCTGGCTCTTGAGGATATAGTCGATGACGGGCTGACTCAGATAATCCACGACGTGTCCGTCCCCATGCTGCAGGGCCAGTCTGTGGGGGAGAAAACAGAGGAAGTCAAAGCTGGGCTTTTGCCCTGCTCGTGCTGTCCTGGTGTAGCACGAGGCGAGGGTATCACTTGGCATGTTGGGGGAAGGGGAAGGGAGCTTCACAGCCATGTGGCTAGCAGTCCTGTTATTGGGGTTGCTTTCTTACATGGCCTGATGTTTTAGGTGGGAACCACTAATCTTAACAGGCATTTCATTAATGCAAGTGCATGGGAGAAGACGGAAGGGGGAAGGAAGGGAAGGTTGATGGTTAAAGCGTCTGATTTGGAAGATTTGGGTTCAACTCCCCACTCTGCTCAATCTCCTCAGTGACATCAGTTTCACGCCTGTAAAACTGTAGGTAACGACACTTCCCTCCTCTGTGGGGAAAGACCAATGCCTGAGTGACTAGGGGGTGCCTGGACACTGTGGAGGTGGAATCATAAGTCCCTAGATGGGTAGAGAGGATTTGTGATAATTGTTTGGATGGTGGGAAATTCTTGGCTGCAGTGGGTGAAGCAGGCATGTGCCCTGTGGGAATACTGGGCCAGGTGACTACATCTCCCCTGCTGGAAGAGACCCTTGGAGTCACGCACCTGCTTTTGGTCGAACTGACAATTGACATTGGGTGGTTCATGTCATCCTTCACCACCAGGATGTTGTTCTGCAGAGAAAACACATGGATGTTACGGATGGCAGGTTCTGTTCTTTCTGGCTCATGCATCTGCATCACTGGGGATCTGGCCATGAGTATGCTAGAAGCCAGGGCTGGTCTGGGTAGCATCTTGATGGGTTAGTTCCTAGGGTGGTCATGCGGACTCCCCATTCTAAATGGTGAGTTAACGCACAGAGCTGGCACAAGGCCCATTGGACCTAATGCTGGCCCTGTGCTCAGGGGTGAATGTTGCACTGACCGCCCAGGCTGGGAGTGGATAGTGCACTGCTGCTGCCCCCAGGACTGCCTGAGTGGCAGCATCACAGCAAGACTATCCCATGGCCACTGCAGCTCAGAGCAGCTAGGGCTCCCGGCCTTCTCGCAGAACATCGTGGTCCAGCAAGTCCCCAAGGCTAGTCAGGAAGGACCCTCTGCTTCCCCCTTACTAGTGAAGCTGCAGGCAGTGCCTGTGTTGTATGAGGTGACTTACTTTGTACTTGCGGAGTATTGAG